ATAACAAAGTAATCAAGCCTATAGCACCAGAGTAGAAGAGTGGACATCCCTACCTTGTTCTTGATTTTATGCAGAAGCATTAGGTCATTTACTTTAAAGTATAAATGTTTGCTGTAGGATCTTTGTAGATGTTCTTTAAAAGGTTGGGAAAGTTCCCTTCTATTCCTATTTTTAATTTTTTTATCATATATGTGTTGAGTTTTGTCAAAGCTTTTTCTTTATCAATTGATAAGATTATGTGATTTTTCTTTGTTTAGCCTGTTACTATGGTAGATTACACTGATGAACTTTCAGATGCCAAACCAGGCTTGTGTCCCTGAAATAAACCCCACTTGGCCATGGAGCATAGTTATTTTTATAGATTGTTAAATTCTGTTTGCTAATATTTTGTTAAGGATTTATGAATCTATTTTCATGAAATATTAGCTTCTAGTTTTTTTTTAACTGTCTGTCTGATTTTGGTATCAGGGAAATTACTAGCTTTGTAAAATCAATTCAGTGTTCTTCTATTTTCTAAAAGAAATTGTGGTGAATTGGTGTTAATTTTCTTGGAACATTTGGTTGAATTCTTCAGTAAAACCATCAGGGTCTAGAGAGTTCTTTCTGTTCTTTTTCTTCAAGTTTTAAAATTATGAATTCAGTGTCTTTAATAGTAATAGCAATATTCAAATTATCTGTTTCATAATGAGTTTGGTAGTTTGGGTTTTTCAATTTATTGATCCATTTTGTCTAAGTTGTAAAATTTATATACGTGTAGAGTTATTCATAGTATTGTCCTATATCCTTTTGATATCAGCACAGTCTGTTTCACTTCTAATATATGTTATTGGCAACTTTTATCTTCTTTTTTCTTTGTCTTCCTTGCAGGAGTTTTGTTAATTTCATTTACATTTTCAAGAACCATCTGCTTGTTTACTAATTTTCTCTGATTTTGTTTTCAATTTCATTGATTTCTGCTTTTACCAATATTAATTACTTTTGCTTTCTTTCTATTCTTCCTCTAGACTCTTGAGGTGAGAGTTTAGATTATTGTTTTGAGATTTTCCCCTCTTTTCTAATGTATATATTTAATGCTATAAGTTTTTATCTCAGTAGTGCTTTAACTGTGTCCCACCAGTTTTGGTATGTTGTATTTTCATTTTCATTCAGTTCTTTCTGCTACCAATATCTTGGTTGATTTCATTGTGCTCAGAGAACCCAGTCTATATAATTGTAATTATTTTAAATTTATGAAAGTCTGTTTTTTGGCCCATGATATGGTATATCTTGATATATGGTCCATAGGGGCCTGAAAAGAATGTGCATTCTGCTGTTATTGGGTGGCATGACCTATAAATATTTAGATTCAGTTGGCTGATGGTGTTGAGTTCTTTCATATCCTTGTTGATTTTCTTTCTAATTCTCTTCATGATGATTATTTAAAAACACCAAATTGCAGATACTACTACTAAACATTTATGAGGTGCTTATTATATGCCAAGCACTCAAGTCTTCAACATGCATTGTATCATTTAACCTTCCCAGTAACACAATGTGTCACATATTATTATTACTGAGGTTCAAAGAGGTTAAGATCACACTGCTATGAATGGCAGAGCTGGCATTCCAGCCCAGGGCTCTCTATTAAATGTGTGTGCATAACCTCTCTGTAATCTGCTGTTCTATCAGAATCCCAGAGCACTTGGTACATTTTCTTCCAGTTCACATCTGAGTAAGGATGTAAACATTATAGTGGGGGCTGCAGGGAAAGTCCCATCAAGGTATAGTAGGCAGCCTCTCAGCTAGTCTCCATTGATTCCCACTTCTTGGTACCCAAGCTCTTACGTGAAGCCCTCCGTTTGAATATGGTCTGGACCTAGCAGTTCACTTCTAATGGACAGAATATGGCAAAAGTGATGGGATGTCACTACTGAGATTAGGCTACAGAGAGACTGGTGTCCATCTTGGGCCTGCTCTCTCCCCCATAAACTCTGAGAGAAGACAGGTGCTGTACTGTGAGCTGCCATGTAGAGAGGCCCATGTGACAATGAACTGATGTCTTTGGCTTACAGCCAGGGAGGACCCACAACTGCCAGCCACCACGTGAGTGACTCTGAAGTGCATCCTCCCCTGCACAAGCGTCTAGATGACCCAAGCTCCTGTAGCCTTGTGAAGGATCCTGAGCAAGAGGCATCTGGCTAACCTGTGCCTGGATTGCTGACTCACAGAAGTAATCTGTTGCTTTAAGCTGTTGAGTTTGGGTTAAAGCACCCACAAAAAAGAGAAAGCAAAGTTAGGAAGACAATCTCTTGGCTTCTGACACTTCCCTCTCCTTTTGGGGCTGGGACTCCAGGGAACTAATCAGGAGATGGTAGAGACCACTGACAGACTGGAGTAAAAAATGTGAGGAGAGAGGCCCTCTGTCTTATTTACCATGTGTCTGAGAGGACCTCCCCTCAGGTGTTCCTTGTATGCCAGTAAGGAGCAAACACAGGAGGGGATAGTCAGAAGTATATGACTTGTCTCAGCCAAGAGAAGGATAGACATATCATCCTAGAGTCTCATGGGAGGCAGAGATGGAGCCCAGAGATTCCCCAGTGTCCCCAGAGGGTCCTGGAAATGAGATGAGTTGGGAGCCTGGGAACTGGTCATGGGACTTTGGGAGTGAAGGGGAGGTGACCCGTGGAAGGGGTACTGCTTAGGGCCCCCCTTGGACCAGCCACCCCTGCCTTCTTTGGGAGACTGAGGGTTTAACAAGGAACGGAATTAGTGCGTAAGAGATGATGCTCCAGTGCTTGGCAGGTTTAAGGTTATTTAGATCTTTTGAGTCCCTATTCCCTCTGTCCCCAGCACCACCATTAGTGGAAATGGGGACTTTAAAGCAAATGAGACTATTTCTTACCAGCCTGTAATGTTGACCCAATCCAGTCACTGCTACCACATGGCTGTCACACCTTGGCAGCCCCACTGCTTCCACCAGGCCACCAGGACAAGTGGCCTTAGGACCCATTTTTTCATTTCTGGTTGTTATCCTGACTCAGAAAATGTAAGTGACAAAGTAGAGGGGCAAACAGTGGCCATAAACAGTAAGAGTGAGAGGGGTGTGGAAAGGGTAGCAGAGGGACATAAATGGCTGTACATGCCTGCATGCCTGGTAATGGCCCCGTGAGAGGGGGGAGAGGCCTTTCCTTACTTATCTTTGGTGCAATGGAGCCTAATCTTAATTGATGCTTGTTGCTATTGCGCCAAAATCAACTACTATCTATTGGCAGTCATCATAGGTGCCTCATTCTTTTCCTGTGGTTACACTGTGTCTTCCTCTTCCTTGGAAATTCAGTTGAGTTACAGAGCTGAGTTACAGAGCTGCCATATATGGCTGCACAGGTTGCACATTGCAAAAATCCAGGTGGTGCCATTCATATCGCATGAGATGACTTGACAAGTCATCTCTCAGAAATCTTTCCACATCATTACCACTGGATTCTCATTATTCCCATCCAGTAACAAATATCTGAAGATCTACTAGGTGCCAGGTGGTGTTCTGGGTGCTGGGGACTTGGCAATGAACAAGATAAATAGAGTCTCTGCCCTTGGTACAAACAGAGATGATGACACCATAAACATATAAAGTAAGTTTAGGCATTATAACGAAGAGGCTGCATAGGTGGGGGAGAGGTAAAATATTTCAGAGATAATTTCTTATGTCCTTCAATAGTATGCAGGATCATAGTGTATAAACCATTAGTGCTCTATACTTAACCAGTTTTTCCCCCCTTTTGAAACTTGAGACAGCAGACAATATGTTGTGTGCATACGATGGATATTTACTACAAGGTAATAGGGTTAATTTCTTATTAGCTGTTGCATTTGTCCTGCCAGGGTAAAACGGTATTTTAAAGAATAGGCATTGCTCAAAATGCTGAGTGGGAATAGTTTGAAATTTTTATTATTACATAATATTTATAAAATGAAGGATATTTTTATGGGTTTGGTAGTGGCAGAGGCAGATTTTACAAATTTAGTACATCCTTGACATTTGTGAGGGATATTTTCCTAGACTAGGAAAGTCCTCAAAACCCAAACCCCACTACAGGGCACATAATTTCTCCATAGAACGTAGTGAAATAAAACTGAAAATGCAAAATATCTTTTGTATGCTTAATGGTTCTCTATAAGTACAGGGTTAAAAATACTCATAGGGTTATTCTCTGGCTTAGAACCTTCAAACCCTCAGACTTCTTCATTTTCACTACCAGTACTAGTGCTTGTTTTCTTTTAAGAGTTTTTTTAAAAAATAAGAAGTCAAGGTTTAAAAAAACCCATGAAAGTCATTACATTCTTGACAATGGATAGAAAAATATCCAAATATATTAAGGTGTTGGTTGATGAGGCTAGCCCACTCCCGGGATAGGGGCCCACTAGATACACCAACCTACAGAAGCCTTTGGAAAATGAGAAATCACTATGAGTCATTAACAGTTAATCACTGAAAAATGCTGAGATTGAGAATGTTAAACCCACAGAGGTTAAAGGTCTTTCATATCTAAATTACTGATCCATAGCAGGAGGGGAAAAATGCAATCACTTGCTCATCTCCTTATTGTTATAGCCTATGTGAGATCATTTTGATAGAGGAGATAGATGATAGAGAATTTTCCAAGCTGAATGTTATATGAGAAATTGCTCTGGAACACCATAAATTTGATTTTTAGCCTTTTCCAAATATCAGTTGCTATGGTTTGTTCCTCATTTGTCACAAAATCATAAATAGTCTGAATCTCAGGTTTCTTCTCTTTAATGATGGTTGGTAATTCCAACCTCCAAGGGCAGAGGTGAGGATAAATGGAGCCAGGGTTATGAAAGTTCTTTCTAAACATGAAAGCAACCCACAAAATCAAGGTGTTATCATCCAAGCAGGTATCACTGGCTTCGCATTCCCAGTTTTGTTACCTGAGCAGAATAAAAACACATGGGAATCTCCGACTAACTGAAATGGACCTTGAGTAAAGGGTTTAACTTACTTCTTTTACAAACCACTGACAAAAGGCAGGACCAATCCATTCTCTTGCATGAATACCACAGTCCATCCAGACAGCTCTTTTGTAAGCTCGTGATCTCCTGCCCAGCTGAAAACAAGAGTATTCTTAGTAACCAACACAGGCTTTTATTTTTGGATTTACTGACCAGCATAATTTAATAAGGTTTCAGCATAATTCTTCACTATGTTGTTTTATTAGGTAACCTGTAAAAAAGGAGAGATGCCCTATCTATTACAGAAGTCTGGGGTTGTTTATGCAGAAACAATACATTTATTGCCTTAATTACAAATCAAAGAACTGGAAAATACACAAAGAAAATAACAATTCCTTAAATAGGTTTGCTTCTCTATTTTAATATAAACATGAGAGGGGACCCCCAAAAACCCTGGAATTATCTTCTGGAGGGAGGGCCGGTTGTAGTACAGGCTTCCTCCACTAGGTGAGTGTTCTAAGAACCCATCTGAATCAGTGTACCAGCTGGCATTGTCGTTAGAGGCTGTGTTTGGCCTCAGTGGATTTTTGTTTTGAAGGCTCTTTCGATGCATTTGCCCATTTCACGATGGGTGATTTAGGAACACTCCTGCACACAACACTCTGAGTGTTCAGCAGCAAGCAGTTTTTGACCCCAAACGGCATGACCTCCATACCCCACTTTCCCTATTCATCCCATCTTGCCCAGAGTGACTTTTTTTTTCCCAGATGAGAAAAATCCTCAAAGGGAAACATTTTGCTGATATGGAAGAGGCAAAACAAAAAACAGCAGAAAGATGAACAAATTCAGAAACTGAGCAGTGGGAAAAAAAACATCTTGATAAGTATATTACACCAAATGGGGAGTATTACTTTCAAGGGGACCGAAATTTAAACATATAATAATAAATACACAATTTTTTAATAAATCAGTGTTTTTGGGTGCCCCCTTGTATGTGACTGTTAAGTAAAAAGCCAAATTTTCTGTCTCTCCTCTATCCAAGGAATCAGAAGTATTCCCAAGGAATCTTCCACAAAGATTTAGCTCTGTTTTGTAGGTGGACAAAGTCAAATTTGATTTCAACGCAAAATGGAAAAACACAAAACAACTTGAATTGTGGAGCTGGCAAATTTTTCTCTATAATTCTATTATAAATGTTACTTATAACCTGGTTTCTAACCCAGTAATCAATAGGTGGCTCTTAACATATTTATTGGGGCCTAGTTTTTATTTATTCATCAATTCACTCAACTAATATTTCAGGAAAACCTTTTCAATGTCAGACACTGTACTGAGCACCAGAGATTCAAAGAGGAAAATACAGGATTTATATGATAGTGAGGACAGCAGACATATGAACAATTAATCATTATGATGTGAATATGCGTAAATTACTTTGGGAACCTGGGGGTATTCTAGAACATGGGAATGCATCTAATTTTCCTGAGAAATAAAAGGAGTCTTCTCGAAAGAGGAGACTTCTTCTTGAGCACTTGAGTGCTTGAGCAAGACTGGAAGTTTGCCAGGCAGACAAGTTGGAAGAAGGCATCACAAATTTGGAAAAGAATCTGAGCACATCCTATTTGAGGAACTGCTTTTCCATATGAGGGAGAAATGGCAGATGCAGAACACATGAAATTCCTGAGTCCTACATGAAAGAGAGAAGGCTGCATCCTGAGTTCCATGGGAGGAGTGTGTGTGGAGTGGAAGGAGGGAGGAGAGCTCACACTGACAGCAGTATGGAGATAGCTGGGTTAGAGGATGAGAGGGTCTAGAAAGGAAGTTCAGTACTGATACTATTATTGCAATAGTCCAGAGATGAGTGAGGACAAGGAAGAAGGTTGGTGCACATCCAAAAAGCTATTTAGAAGGAAAAAAATGAACATTCCTAGTGGCAGATTTAAAGCAAGTGGTTAAAATAGAGGAGGGGAATTAGGATGGTGCTCATGTTTTTACACTGGGAGCAGAGTGGTGCCATTCTGAGGAAAGGTGCTTTTATCACTGTTGACATGAGGATACAAAGCAGCCAATGATATATGAATTTTAAAGCTCTAGAGAGGGGACTCCACTGAATAGCAAAGTCTGGAATGATGGTTGAAACCATGGAGTGGATGTGTCCATCTCAAGATTGTTCATAGACTGAGAGCACATCTGAAGATAGAATCCTGAGACTGCCAGAGCATAAGGAAAAGCTGAGGGCCAAGGATCCAGAGAATGAGACCTGTGGGATGGTCAGAGAGATGGGGAAAAAACTAGCGGTCATCATTGACCTTGGCAAGAGAAGGTTTAGAGGAACGGTGGGGGTGGGAAGGCCAATTAGTCAAAGTCTGACTAAGAGGTGAGAAAGTGCAGGGTGATGTTTTATTATAAGCCTTTTGGAGTGTTTGGCTGAGAAGAGATGGAGTGCTGTAGACCAGGCTAGAAGAAAATGTAGGGTCACAGGCTAGGAATGACGCATACCTTCTTACATATTTATGTAGCTTTGCATTGGTTCATCTTATGCACCACCAACTCACACATCATTTTGAAGGCCATTATTTTTAGGTGCATTAATAACTCAGAATATGTTAGTATTCTCTGGAATACTCAGTGGTGAAACTTCAATGTGAGTTAAAAACCTAAGGGCAAACTTTTCCTTAAGTTATTGGATAATGTTAAATATTAGACACTATGACACCATTCCATTTCTTGTCCCCACATGTCAAAGTTGGAATGATTGTTTAGTAAATATTTTAGTTAATAATTTCCTAATTTTACCTTTAAAATGAAAAGAGATCTTCCCTCATATGATTTTCCAATAGGGAACATGTGAATGAGGCCTGAATGAGTATTATTCAGATTATGCATCCAATTTTGAATCTAAAAGCAAATAAATAAAAATCATGTCAGACTCTCATAATTACAGAGCTTTCAGAGAACAAAAGGCAAGAAGACAACAATAGGTCTCAGAACTCAAAGAGCACACTTGGAATATAAAGCTGAACAAAAACCAATTTTCTATTTTAATTTTCTTCAGGATATTTAAAATTACCTTTTATTTTCTGCCTTTACAAATAGTAGATTCAAGTCTTTATATTGTTCCCTTTTTAAAGAATACCTTCTATTACCATTTATCATTAGTATCTTGATGGCAGAGTTTTGCAGAAAATTAATCAATGTGTTCTGGGATCCTTTTGAAAATCAAAATTTACTTCCATTTTCCTCCAAGTAGTTAAGAGGAAGAGAAAGAAATTGGCTTCAGGAAAATCATCCAAACTACCTGAAAGCCCAATATATTGTAATTTGCCACTGAACGGAAGATGCAAAGAAAAAGACATTTTTTAACATTTAAAGATATTCACTCTATGCAGCCATACATCAGAGGGCATAGTCTGAATAAATTCCCCAGTAATAGCAATGCATTTACATTGGCCCTTTCACATACGCTTCTCTGTCATCAGGAAAAGGTATATTTGAGATGGGTGAATGAGGCACTTAGGAAGATGGGTGACATTTCTGACTTAAAAGCTGTATGAGTAAGGAAGTCATACGAGAGCATCCCATTGTTCCATGATGTGAAAGAAAGAGTCTGTGCTGAAAAAATAGGTTTTGTGAAGTACCATATTATTTTCTTTCTGTTCTTAGTCTAATGAGTGTACACACACACACATACACATATCTATATAGATATATTTTAAAAATTTGACTTTTTCTAGTGAATGTTAATAGAACTTTCATGTGCTAAATTATCTAAAACATTTCCTTGTTGTAACATAAAATACATAGAAATAATTTTGAAAGGAAAGTAGACCCAAGAATTATCAAGAGAACCAAGAATTCTCTTAAGAATATAACAGGATCTTATGAATGCTTTGTCTGGCATTCCTTTGCTCAATTCAGAAGAAAAATGGAGAATGTATGTACACATTCATTCTGTCCTCTACTATCTATTTGGAGGGCTCTATTTGCTTGCCACTAGGAATACAGTGGTGAATAAGAAGTGGCCTGTGTTCATGGAATTTGCAGCTTATTAGAGAGAAAGGTTTTGATGAAAAAGAATCATACATCCATGTGCTATGGTGCATAAAATATGGTGGTAGTTGGAGGTGGGGAGTGGAGTTCTGATCCAGCCTAGGAGAGTAGAAACAGCTGTCTTCCTCCATAAAGCTGAGATTTGAAGAATGACTAGTTGTTGTCTAGGTGAACAGTAAATGATGTGTTAGTGGGAATGAGATTCCTGTGCTTTCCAGGTAGAATAAAGAGCAGCATGCTAATAGGCCCTGAGGTACCACAGATGAAGCTTGGCCTTTGGGAGGTCTCAGATTTGCAAAGGGTGTGGGGGTAAGAATCAAAGTTTACTCTACCCTTCAACTAAATCATTGTCCTCAAACTCTGGTTAGCCCTACCTTCCATCAATATATGCATAAAGCTTTTAAGTTAAGGTCTTTATAACTACAATTATAACAACATCACTTCACTCTTCAAGTGCACTTCCCATGACCTTCATAGGGGTGAGTGGTGTAAAGCAGATGAATTCAAATTATTTTGCTACTTCTTACATAGCAATTAAATGCTTAATGGAATAGAGGACTGACCTGAGGTGCCTAGACAATATACGGAGCTGTATTTGCCCTGGCCAGGTGGCTCAGTTGGTTGGAGCATCATCCCTTACAACAAAAGCGTGTGGGTTCCATTCCCAGTCAGTGCACATATTTAGGTTGAGGGTTTGATCTCATGTATAGGAGGCAGCTGATCAATGGTTCTCTTTCACATTGATGATTTTTTTTCTTTTCCCTCTCTCCCTTACTCTCTTTCTAAAAATCAGTAAATACATCCTTGGGTTAGGATTTAAAAAGGAAAAAAAGAGCTATATCTATTTTGCATATAGTCCCTGCATAAAAAAATACAATAAAAGCTCCTTTGATCACATACTTCTTCTAAGGAATGATAAACTTCATAATTATATTCAGAGAGGGATCTTCGATTTCTCTGGGCTTGCAAACTGCTTCCCTTTTCCAGTGCTTTCTGAAGATCTTCTATGAGGATCCTGGATTTGAAATGATAGACACAATGAAAATGAAATGGAGATAATATAAAAATCAGGTAGTATCAAAATAAAATTATGCATCTATGAAAGAAGGCAGCAAAGAGAGACATTTTTAAGATTACCAAATGTTGAGAGAGTGTTCATTTTCAGGAAATAAAAGCTGTTAAATAAATTGTGTAGTAAATATAAAATGTACAATTGTAAACAGATGTTTCCTAATAGTAATAATAATAATAAATAATAGTAATGGTAATAATAACCACTGTTCATTGAGCAGCTATAAGAACTGAATGATGGGTACGAGCATTCGTATTTATTAGGTGACTGCCAGGCACTCGGCACTGTCCTGTGTATATCACACACTGTCCTATGTATATTATTACCTAAGATTATATGTAAATAAAATTGTATTGTTATCTCCATTTCACAAGTGGGGAAACTGAGCCTCAAAATGGTGAGGAACTTGCCAATGTCACTCTACTAGTGAGTGCAGAACCAGAATTTGAACTTGGAAAGTGAACCCAAATTTGAATTATTTGACTTCAAGTCCAGTGTGACATTATGAGAACTGAAACAAGATGAAGTCTTCCACTCCATCGCCACATCCTCCTTTCCTGATGCTTCTATCTGTTCCTGTCCTTCTCATCACTGAATTTTTTCATGTCATCACCCAGCAACCTGACCCAAGACTCAGAAAGGAAAGGGAAAGAAAGAAGCTACAGTTCTTAAGAGCAAACTGAAGAAATACACAAAGTGGAAAAAAGTGAATTTCACTTCCTGCCACAATGCCAAGAGAAGAAAAGCTCAGCTAATCAAAGTGGATGCATTTGGAAAGTGAAGGCTAAAGGTGGGGGGTTGGGGGGGATGGGATTCCAGGGTCACTGTAGTGAGTGGAACCAGCTCAGCTATAGTGATTAATGTTCTTGGCGAAACATCTGAGCTGGATACAGGCTTGTCTCCCTAATACTCAGCCCTGTCCTCTATCAGCAGTCCCCAACCTTTTTGGCACAAAGGACCAATTTCATGGAAGATAAATTTTCCACAGACAGGGTCATGGAGGATGGTTTTGGGATGTTTCAAGTGCAGTCTGATGACTTGGGACATTCAAACTCACCTCCTGCTGTGCAGCCTGGTTCCTAATAGGCCTGGACTGGTACTGGTCAGTGGCCCAGAGGTTGGGAACCCCTGTTATAACTAGAGGTAACTAGTCATGAAGTTGTACCTTCATATGGAATGTTTAAAAATGTTGAAGAGCCAGGTTCTAGCCAAGGTGGAGGTGTAGGTAGAAACACTTCACTTGCTTCCTTGCACAACCAAAAGAAGGACAACAATAAATTTAAAAACAATAAATAACCAGAACTGCCAGAATAGCAAAATGCATGGAACTCCAACAACCAAGGAGTTAAAGAAACATTTGTCCAGACCAGTAGGAGGGGTGGAGAGGGGCAGGCAGGCAGGTGGAGAGGACCTGTGGCAGGGCGATGGACCATGGGCAAGGAGGGGCTGGCTGCTGGGGAAACTAAAGACACCAAAACTCTAGTTGTAAAATACTGTGGAGACTGTGAAGGCAGGAGAAAGTCCAAGTCTCACAGGAGAGTTTGTTGGAAAGTGGGGCTAGAGCAGAGAGAGCAAGTGGCTTTGTTATCTGTCTGACCCCTCCCCCACAAACAGTGCCACCAGGCAGCGAAGAGGATTGCTTTGCCCTGGTGAACACCTAAGGCTCTTCCCCCTTACAACTTAACAGGTGCACTGAGACAAAGAAATATGGCCCAAATGAAAGAACAGATCAAAACTTCACAAAAAGAGCTAACCGACAAGGAGATAGACAACCTACCTGATGCAGTGTTCAAAACACTGGTAATCAGGATGCTCACAGAATTGACTGAGCTCAGTCTTAAAGTGAAGGCAACACTGGGTGAAATAAAGCAAAACATACAGGGAACCAACAGTGAAGGGAGGGAAACTGGGAATGAAATTCAATGATTTGGAACAAAAGGAAGAAATAAATATCCAACTGGAACAGAATGAAGAAATAAGAACTCAGAAAAATGAGGAGAGGCTTAGGAACCTCTTAGACAACTTTAAGTGCTCCAACATCTGAATCACAGGGTAGCCAGAAGGAAGAGCAAGAAATTGAAAACTTAAGTGAACAAATAATGAAGAAAAACTTCCCCAATCTGGTGAAGAAAATAGACTTCCAGGAAGTCCAGGAAGCCCAGAGAGTCCCAAAGTAGTTGGACCCAAGGAGGAACACACCAAGACAAAACACAATTAAGTTACCCAAGATTAAAGATAAGGAGAGAATCTTAAAAGCAGCAAGACAGTTACCTATAAAGGGGTTCTCATAAGACTATCAGCTGATTTCTCAAAAGAAATCTTGCAGGCAAGAAGGAGCTGGAAAGAAATATTCAAAGTCATGAAAGGCAAAGACCTACAACCAAGATTACTCTGTCCAGCAAAGCTATCATTTAGAATGGAAGGGCAGATAAAGTACTTCCAGACAAGGTCAAGTTAAAGGAGTTTATCATCATCAAGCCCTTATTATATGAAATGTTAAAGGGACTTATCTAAGAAACAGAAGATAAAAAATGATGAACAATTAAATGACAACAAACTCATAACTATCAACAACTGAACCTAAAAAATGAAAGCAAAAATTAAGCAAACAATTAGAACAGGAACAGAATCACAGAAATGAAGATCACATGGAGGGTTATCAGTGGGGAGGGGAAGGGGTAGAATAGAGGGGAAAGGTACAGGGAATAAGAAGCATAATTGGTAGGTACAAAATAGACAGGGGGCGGTTAAGAATCGTATAGGAAATGGAGAAGCCAAATAACATATGTACAACCCATGGACTTGAACTAAGGGGAGGTGCTGGAGGATAGGGGTGCAGGGTGGAAAGGGTATAAAGGGGAGAAAAAATTTGCTATTATTATTGGGATAACTGTAATAGCAAAATCAATAAAATATATTTAAAAAAATAAAAATGTTGAAGAGTCCCTCAGCAATTTTTCTGGGTCTGGCAGATAGCTAAAAAGTTTTGCTTTCATATCTTATCTTTCAAAAGAACTGTGCTTAGTGCTATAAAATGAACCTGTAATGACATCTATAAATGAGTTTCAAGGTTGATTTATATAAGCCACTTCATAAAAAAAATTGTCTTGAATTACCTGAATAAACACTTTTTGGTCCATGAGGAAGTAGATTAACTTAGGGTCATACTGGGTATAGGACAGTCCTTTTGATTCACTCATATATTTACTAAGTATTTTACCCATAGTGGACAAATACTTAGGAATTTATCATTAGCTTACTGTTCTTTTTGTTTCAATTTTTTACTTCAGAAATAGAATCATTAAATATTAAAATAAGATGGGGTGACACAGAGTTGGTAAACTCGCTTGGTAGCTGCAGTGACTCAAATGTGAGTGGAGGATTAGTCTTCCTTTCTGTATTAGTCTTTCCTTTCTTCCATCAAGGAAAGAAGTTATAGATCAAAGTAGGCTTGTATGGACTAAAAACACCTTCAAATATGGCCAGTGTAGGTCTTAAGAACCATATGAACCTTTATATCAATGTCCAAACTTCCTTTGTTGTGAGAGAACGTGGAGTGATAAGAAAGATACAAGTTCATTTAGAGCTGAAGTAGTTGGTTATAAATTGTCAACACTTTCCAGTTACTGCAGGCATTGTTTAGATAGGTTTCTAGTACTATCTCTCCATTTCTCTAGTACTATCCCTCCAGAAATGGCTACTTTTCTCTATCTCAGGAAACTAGGGAAAAAATGTAAATAGATTTGTCAAAGCCAGCAATCTACATAAGAATCCCAGGTGGTTCAGTTTTGGTTGGAGTATTGTTCCATACACCAAAGGGTTGCAGGTTTGATCCCCAACTGGGGAGAATACAGGAGGCAACCAACTGATGTCTGTCTCTCTGTATTTGTCTCTGTCTCTGTCTCTGTCTCTCTCTAGGAAAAAAAGAACAGAAAAGAAAAAATCAATAAACATATCCTCAGGTGAGCATTAAAAAAAATTTCCCTCTGGATTTTCATTTTAAAAAGATAAAACACATAAATACAAAAAATAAAAAGTTTCCAAGGGTATAAAAATGTTCAGAATGTTTCCAAAATGGAGTTGTAGTGTATTGTTTTTAAGGTATTTCCAGTGAACTGACTTTCCAAACACAAGCAAGTACAGATAACTTGTTTCCTCTCAAGGTAAGAGCAATTCCTCTCAAACATCACTAGAAAGTTTTGAGGTTCTGCTGCTGATATTCTGTTTGTTTGGCAGCTCTTGGTAGAATGAACGTTGTAAAAAGGGGGTGAGAATTAGGACACAAAGACACATACACATAGCAGGAAGACGATGTGAAGAGACAAAGGAAGAAGGCCTCTATGCACAAACCAAAGAGGCCTGGGACAGATCCTTCTCTCACAGCTCTCACAGGGGACCAACCCTGCCACCACCTGGATTTCAGACCTCTAGCCTCCAGAACCATGAGGTGATGAAATACTTCTGTTTTTCAGTCAGCCAGTCTGTGGTACTTTGTTATGGCAGCCCTAGCCAACTAATACAGTTCAATAATTTAGACTGTATCTTAATACAGGCCCTAAGAGACCAACCTGAAAATTAAAATAACTGTGATGTGGCCCTGACCAAGTAGCTTAGTTGGTTTGAGTGTCATCTTGGTACATTAAGGTTGGGGGTTTGATCTCGGGTCAGGGCACATATAAGAATCAACCAATGAATGCATAAATAGGTGGAACAACTAATTGATGTTTCTGTCTCTCACTCTCTCCCTTCCTCTCAAATCAATCAATAAAAATAATAATAATTGTGACATGGCAGGTATAGTCCATTTTCCTCATCAAGTTGTTGATTGGAAACTTGTCAGTTGATGAGAAGACCATTAAATGGAGCCCCCAAATGTTTTTTTTTAAACTGTTGTGTTTTAGTTCTTTGCATCTTATTATTATTCTTACCCTGATTGTGTGTGCTTCTATGTGGAACTTTCCAGGTGATGTCATCACTTAGTACAAAACCACCCCTTCCAAGCTTCCAGGATGGAAGGGGGGCTTCAGAATTTCAGATTCCATGACAAATTTCTACAGGTTTTTAATTTATAAAGTGACTGAAAATTTTTATGGCAGAATGAGTCATTTCATCTGTCATGTCATTAAGAGGGCTTGATCATTTAGGGTGCTAGATGCATGGGGTCACATTATCTTTGCTTTAAAGATGACTCTAGCTATACATTATATATAATTGTACAGAGTAAATAATAGTCTTTTGAAAACACCCTAGGCTATAATAATAAAAGTCAATTAAAATGATCTCTACCTACTGGCTCCGTGGAACTTAACGGACTCTTATGTATTATTATCTTGGCTCTAACAAAATGAACAATTCTAAATAATTGTTCTCTATGAAGAGACAACTGGATTAAAACAATGTTTTAGATTCAATTCTCTGTGACATACAGTGTGATATTTTATTCTATGTTAGTTCCACATGACCTATATTTAATAGCAGGAAATAGAGATTTGTTAAAATAACTGGTATATTCTTTTATACCAAATAATAATTAATGAAGCATGTGAGTTGTTACTGAGCACCTATAGATATAATTACCAAGCTCTTTCCTGCCAGGCATTCAGGAAATCAAAGCTACAGCAATGACTAAAAAGTGTGCAGTATGAAAAATAGTTTTATGCACAGCTGTGTCTCTACCCTATTCTAGAAGCACAGATAAAATGTCTTACTGAAAAAGAAAATCAGTACTTTAATAAGGCTGCAGTGATATTCCTGGCAGGGAAGTATTTGTATGGACCAGGGAGGGATGTCACTGTCACATTATACCCCCTGCCCAGCCATCTACAGAGACTAGAGACTTCACCAGTAACTCCAGAGCCATGAGCCCATCCCAGGCCTTGCCAGACATCATTATAGATCTTTGTGCTTGCTTTGGCAGCATCAGAACTTACTAAAACGTTGGGTAGTTGAGGGTAGTCATTGACAATCATGCCTCTCAGTCTCCTGGGATTCCAAACAAAAGGTAAGTCACTCGATCCAGTCTCATTAATTCACTACACTGCACGTCAGATCCTCCATTGATTACTCATCCCTCCACTACTTTCTTTTACCTTGCACCTGCTGGAATCCCCCTTTCATTGTAGATAAGCTCCCTACACTCTCCAGTCTCTTCAGAGAACTCTCTTCTTCTATTCTTGCCATAATAGAAATTGGACTCTCATAAGGATGCAGATTTCTTTTGTGGCTTTCTCTTCTTCTACCCACCTACCAAGGGGCCAGAAGTGAGGGAGGTCAGCATGCTCCTGGACCCCCATTTCGGCTTCCCCCCTAATCATCTAACTTCCAGGAAAAGCTCATCCCCCCTTTATCATCAATCATACTATTCCTCGTTGTTTTTTTCCAACTTCTGGATATGTCCGATATTCCCCATCCTGTAATATTCTCTCTCTCCCCACCGCTAATCCTATCATTCGCCAAGGAGACTGAAGACTGTTATGATGATTCTCTGGTGATTTGGCTTACCCATTCTTGACCGTATTGGCCTCAGTAATCTCCATTACACTTTGGCCATCTCTCCCATGGCTACCCCCTGAATCTTGCCACCAGCCATACATGTTCTACACCAGAACTCTTAACATCCAGTAGCTAACATTCTGTCAAAACCTACTTCCTTCCAGTTGTCCTCAGTCACACTATACCAGTTTTCAATATAAACACCTTCCTCCCCTCCTCTATTCTTCCATTTTGTCCCATTATTCCTCCCAGACTTTCCTCCTTTCCTACCCAGATTAGACTCGATGGATGGATACTTGAGCTAGTGTCTCCCTAGGAACTTCAACTTCCTTGCAACCTTGACCTTTCTGTGTTTCTGTCCAATGAAATCTCAACTATGTCTCAGGGCTACTATCTCTCTTCTCTGCAACAACTACTTTTATTGGTTGCTACCCTAGTTTTTCTCTTGGAACACTCTTCAACCCTTGTTTTTTCACTTTCATTAGATCATCTTGCTTCTTCATCCAGAAAACTTAGCAATCAGTTATGATCTCTTTTAACTGGTCTCACATTTACCTCTTCCATCTTAGAGGGTAAGGTTTCTTCCTAATATTCAAACTCACTCCTCCACTTTTGCATTTTTTCCTATCTCATCACCTTCTTCTTCTCTTCTGGTCTTTCCTCTCAGCCTACAGACAAGCCCAAATTGCCCCTCCCCAAACAAATCCCATATCTCAAGCAGTCATTGATGGTGCATCTCCCTGTAGTCACTCCTCATTCTCTGCTTCTCTCCTTATTCTACCTTCTAAGAGCAGTTGTTTTCTCTGCGCTCCATGTTCTCACCTCCTGTTCCCTTCTCTATCTCCTGCTCCTGACAATTTAATCCCACCATTAGAGTTACTAACACAGTTTCTACTGCCAAATCCAAGGAATCTGGTTAGTCCTTTTCTTGCTGGTATCACTGCAGCACTTGGCACCACTGGTGCTCCCTCTCTCGAAAGTCTTTCATTTCTTCTTTGACTCCTGTGACTATCTTCCACTAACTCTATTCCTACCACTCTAACTAGTCCTTTAAAAACCCTCAAAATATCCAAATATCCAAATCTGCTTGAATTTACCTCCTCAGTCACCCAAAGTAGACTTGGCATTATCCTTGACTTCTTCCTCTTGTACCTACGCCAAACTAAGTGTGGAGTCCAGGTGATTTTGCCTCTGAACTATTTTATTAAATGCTCTCCTGATTCCACTACTCTGGTCACAACTCAAAGCATCACTATCTCTTACCTGGGCCATGATTGTAGTTTCTTTCCAGTTATATGTGTGTGGCTCCCTTGCTTACATCCTCGACTTATGCAGTGCCACTCTCAGGAAAAAGTCTGAGTTCCTAACCCTGTACATCAGTCTTCCCACAAGCTACCCCACTTCTCCAGCATTTTTTCTTTCTATTCTTTGATTGGCACTTTGTACACTAATAACACTGAACTACATCAGTTTCCTGCATATACACTATGCTGTTCTTCCCTTTGCTGGCATTGTTCCTTTTGTGCGCAGGGTTCTGACTCTCATCCTCGGCCTAAGTAAACAACTCCTGCAGAAAACTTCCTCTGTCCCTGCCTTCCCACCCACCTTCTCAACACCACTAGGCTGCTGTCCTTTCCTCCCCTAGGAAAAACCTTCTGTGTTTATGCTTACCACTTGGTGATGATGGTGAGATAATATGTCCCTTTCCCTGTTACATTAATAAGCTCAAAGGTAAATATAATTGCTATATGCATGTTGGATTTCCCAATTCAATAAACAGTACCTGAAACATTGTCACTAGCACTCAATAGGTAACCTAAATGTAGTTACCGTTCAGTTCAACTTAGTACAAATAAATTAAGCAATGAAAAAATGCTTACTTGTATGGGATGTTGGCTTCCTGTAAGAAGTCTAACAGAGCTCGGGAACCATTTTGGGGAATATGGACATCAGTAACTGTCCCCTTTGAGACATAGGAGATACTGCTGGGCTGCCACAGGTCCACCTGTAGTGCAGGAACCAACCTGTAATTCACATTCAGTGTAGGTGGGGAAAGATCCATGCCACAATGTCAAACATGTTATCTCGTTTGCATTCAGTAACATAAGCACATTATGGAATTAGACTCAATGCTTGCTTCATTAGGGTAAAATTATTTGCTTTTGAATTTGTTCTCCAAATTACATCATATCCATATAAAATTTGATCATAATTTGTAATAGTTTAAAGACCAATTTATGAAAGCTACAAGGTAAAAATGAGATAACATAGTTCTAAGTATTATTTTGATAATTTACAATTACTAACTGCACAAATATTTGAATAATAATGAGGAAAACAAATATAGAAGTTACCCTTTATCCTACTATACAAGCAAATTGTGGCAGTTTAACAACATCTGGTAACTTTAAATGGAACACTCTCCAGGTACCTCCTCCTTCCCCAACACATGCCTTTCACCAGTTCCTACCAGGTGTTCACATATCCATAGAAACATCCCTTTCTCAGGGAGGACTTGTAAGGTAGTTCTCCTTGTTATGGTTCTTAGAATACCTTGTGCTTTCATTGTGTAACTTCCTCTTACCAGAATGTAAGCTCCATGAGGGCAAAGAATTTGTCCACATGGTTACCACCCTATTCCAAGTGCCTAGAATTGTGCTTTGTGCATATTAGCAACTCAGTTGTTATCTGTTGCATGTGCATGTCCCCACTTAACAATTCACTGTGTGTTTACCATGCATTCACTGTATAGCAGAAAAGCAGGAGCCATGTCTATTTGGCTCACTGTAGTGTCCCCTATGTTTTGTCTAGTGCTCTGCACCTGGTAGGAGCTCCACAGTTATTGAAAGAGTGACTGTATGTTTGCAAACAATATCTCCACTAAAGGGCTAATATCCAAAATATATAAAGAACTAACACAACTCCACAACAACAAAGGTAAATGCAAATCAAAACTGCAAAAATGCAATAAAATACAACCTTACACCTGTCAGAATAACTATTATCAATTAAGACAAGAAAGAAGTGTTGGAGAAGATGGGCAGAAAAGGGAACCCTGGACAATGCTAGTGGGAATGTAAATTGGTGCAGCCACTATGGAGGTTCCTCAAAAAGTTAAATTCTTAACTTTTGTTAAGAGCTACCATGTGACCCAGCAATCCCTCTTCTGAGTATCAACTTGAAAAATTTGAAAACATTTATTCATAAAGATATATGTACTCCTCTGTTCACTGCATCATTATTTCCAACAGTCAAGACATGGAAACAACCTAAGTGTCCTTTGACAGATGATTAAAGAAGACGTAGTACGTATATACAATGGAACACCACTCAGCCATAAAAAAGATGAAATATTGTGTTTTGTGATGACATGAATATATCTTGAGAGCACCATGCTAAGCAAAATAAATCAGATGGAAAAGGACAAGAAATGTATGATTTCATTCATGCATGGGATATAAAACAAAAAGCAACAAATGAACAAACAAAGCAAACTCCTAGACACAGACAACAGGATGGTGGTTACCAGAGGGCAAGGTGGGTGGCGGAGGGGTGAGGATGAAGAAGGCAAAGGGGGTAAAATATATGGTGACAAAAGGAGACTAGACTTTGGGTGGTGAACACATAATACTATACCCAGATGATGTGCTATAAAATGTATAATGTGAACTCACATAATGTTATTAAGCAATATTACATAAATAAATTTAATTAACAACAACAATAACAACAAAAGAAAGAATGAATGAATGAATGACTGCACTCAGCTGGGAGGAAGGGAAGCTTTATCTTCTGCATAAGCCTGGAACTACACTCAATTTAGTGCAATTTCTACAGTCATGTCTGTCTTCTCTCTGCTTTGGGACTCCTTTTTCCTACATTTCCAGCCTTGGCTTGTTGCTAAGCTTTTATCAGATAAGGTTGAGTTTATCTTCACTTAGGTGTCAGTGTCTGCATTCAGTTAGGAACTCTGTAAGACTAAAAATACTTTGTGACTCAAGGAAAAATACACCTTTAGTGATATAATTTAATCTGGAACAGGGTAGAGAATCCTTTATTTTGGGGACAAAGAGCCTACCTATTTTCTTTCAAGCTGCTGACTCTTCTGGTAACTGGCAAAGGCAAATCTGACTCAGCAAACATCCTAGCCCAACAATAATAGAAAACAGAACTGTGGGGCTGGTAGGGATGCTGAGAGATCATTTGATCCATCTGTCAGCCCTTGGGCAAGGATACATCTAGGATTCAAACAAACTGTTCCCAATAGATACAACTAAGCCACATCTTTTTAGTCTCCAAAATAGGAGAGTTGGCAACATATTAATTTAACTTATATCCACATCTAATGAGATAGCAGACATTTGTCTTAATCTCTTACATTGCACCCCAATTTCATTTTTTTCTTGTTCCATTCATCAGCTGGTTTCTCGCCTTTAAGACATAAAGGATGTTGGTATCTTTCATTTTTCTTTATATGTCAGATTTTCTAATCCTTTAATCATCTTTGGGAATTACCAGACTTTCTTTTTTCTGATTGTGTTGTTTTCTATTCTTATATCACTAATTAAAAAACTTTGATTACAGTTGACATTCAATATATTAGTTTTAGGTATACAACACAGTGACTAGGCATTTACATAACTTAGGAAGTGGTCATTCCAATAAGTCTAGTACCCATGTGACACCACACATAGTTATTATAAAATTATTGACTATATTCCTTATGCTGTACTTTATATCTCTGTGACTGCTTTTCTAACTGACTATTTGAACGTCTTAATCCCTTCCCCTTTTCACCCCACAACCTCCCTCCCAGCTGACAACTATCAGTTTATTCTACAGATATCTTTTTGATATTAAGGTTTGCTACCATACCTTAATGCCACTGGAGATGAGAAAATAGTGCTATACTCATAGGATAAAGAGCTACAGGAACGTAAAAGGATATGAATAATGACTCTGAAGATGAGTGTGTAAGTGTTATTTTCTGGAGTGCATGCTAAAATAAGAATCCTCATCCCACAGAAGAGAGTGACTTCCCCATAGGAAAGTTCCCAGAAGCAGTGCGCCCTCCAGCATGACCCAGGGATGCCACCTGGCAAACTAACCTGTCGTCAGAAAGCAGCTGATCTAAAGGAAACCAACTAAAAGGAATCTTCAAAATCAGGCATCGTATTTTGTAATATTAGGAAAGTGAATTCTCATATTAGGAAAGTAAATGAAAATGAATCATTACCTTTTCCCCAGTAATATTTGGCAAAGGCTGTTTGGATAAGTGATGTGGATATTTCGGTCTGGGTGGCAGGCATGTGCCTATATCTTGGTATGGGGTAGAAAAATAGTCATGTGAGATTTGTAATGTTTCACCTGCCTTAACAGATGCTTCTAATCTTTTCAATAACTCCTGAAGATAGGAGCTAATTTTAGATTTCTGAATGAGAAGACTCAGGGTCATAAAGGTCAAGTCTTTTCCCTATGGATGATCAGCTATAAAACAGTGACACTGGGTATGCCTAACTCAGGTATCCATAATTAGCTGACTGGGTAAGTGTCTCAGGATCTTCAGATAATATCTCAGAAGAATAAGCCACATTCAATGTCCTGACTTGGTGTTTGAGGGGTCTAGGTGATGGGTTTCATACCCTGCTCTTTTCTGTCAGGGGTTATTTGTCCTATAAATTAATATGCAGATATTTTAAAGTTCCAATCAGTCCACTATGGGCAGGTTACCCTCAGTCATTTCCATATGGCCATATCACAATTGGATGGAGTGATAAACAGTTGCTGAACTGCAAAACTGGGTGACCCTGGATTATGATGACAACAAAGTGTTGCCAACCTTGTCAGGATAGTCTAAGGCTGTTTGCCAACCATCGCTGGCTATGCAGCAAACAGCCATTTAAATCCAAGGAAAGGATGCTCCTTTGTACCACCTTCTAGCCTTGGCATCAGGTGGTTGTTCCCATGAGTTCCTTTCCTATGATTACCTGTCAAATATCGTCAGACCTATTTAAGAGGTGGAGGCAGTTCAGCGTAAAGGTCAAGAGTATGGATTTTGGAACCCAATGACCCTGAGCTGGTATGCTAGCTCTGGCAGTATTGGCTGTGTGATTTTGGGTGTAGTTTTAACATTTCTGAGCCTCAGTTTCCTCATCTGTCCTGTGAATATAATTGAAAAAGCTACCTACAGCCTTTTCTATAGGATTAACTGGAATAATAGAAGTAAAACACATAGCAGACAGTCTGCCACACAGTGAAAGCCACATATTATTTGTTCTTCTTATTTTTATTATTTTTAGAAAGCATAAACAAAGAAAAGCTGGAAGCAGTAAAGATAAAGTTATATTTTACATGTTTTGGCTAAGATGAAGAATACAGTGAGACTGTCCTCTTGTTCAGTGACATTAAAACCTATAACTGGCGTTAAGGAGGATGGTAAAGCAATAAATAAACCACAAATATGAAGAGAGCTGGACTGTGTTCTAGCCCAAAGGCAGATAGCTACATTTGAAGCCACTCTAATGTAGCGGTTAACTCCCTGAACTCTGAAGTCTGAATCCCTGGGATTAAATTCAGGGTCCCCCAGTTAGCATCCATGTGATGTGGGGCAAGTTCCTTAACCATTCTGGGCCTCACTTTCTTCATCTGTTAAATGAAGATGATAATTCTTGGTTAATTAGTATTTGCTAGTCTTAGTGGTTGTTGGTATGTTATTATTATTATTATAGGATTATGGAGATTATAGAAAATGCAGTGATTAAGAACAGGAATTCTAGAACCAGACAGGCTGACTCTGAATCCCAGCTCTGTTACTTATTAGCTCTGTGACTTTGGACAATTTACTTTAGCTCTCTGCACATTGGTTTCCTCATTTATAAAGTGGGGTTATGAACACTTTATTTTTCATAGATTTGTTAGACTTAAGTAAACTAATACATATACAGTGCCTAAATCAGTACCTGGTGACTAGGAGACGTTCATTAAATAAATAATTCAAAATTCAAA